TATTCGTGATAACACTGTAACGTTGCTACCCGAAGCAAAATCTCATGTTTCCTTTGTAACGTTACATTTTAACGTAACGGTTGGGATTGACACTACATAACGTTACGTCTTTCGTACCACAATTGTGATAACCGATTGCAAGAGGTACAGAAACGTAACAATATGGATCACGAGGCCGTTACGTTACAAGTTACTGTACCGAAACGGTGAAGGGAACGAAATATTTTGGTACTGAAAAAATTTGTAACGTAACAGCGTTACGTTAAGTTACGGCGCCCTGATAAATGCACGCTCCGCTAGCCTAACCTAACCTCCTCGCGCAAGGGGGGCTCTTTAAGTGGCCATTTTCCTTGTTTCTGGCCAGGAATCGACCCGGGCTCCAGCGCGCCGAGGAGGTGGACTTGACCCGACCTGAACGCGTGCAATCCGGGAGACCAAGTCTCGTAAAGCAGGACCGAGTTCTGTACTCTCCGCTGTTAAGTGGAGCCGACAGCCTAGTGGCGAGCGCGCTGAGGTGTGGTCCGGAGACCGTCGACTGAGGGATCGAATCCCAGCTGTAGAACTTCTTTTTCTCCCGCTCTGTTGATCATGTCTTCGGGAGTCATCTAGAGCCGAGATGCGCATGTTGACGGGCAGAGCGGGAAAAAAGTTCCAAGGCTGGGATTCGATCCCTCAGCCGACGATCTCCGGACCACAGCTCAGCGCGCTCGCCACTCAGCTGTCGCCTGCTTCTGTGGACACAAACGTCAGAACTCAGTCCTTCTTTACGGGTGTTGATCTGCCGTGTTGCACGCGTTCATCTCAGGTCAAGTCCACCTCCTCGACGCGCTGCAGCCCGGGTCGAAATCTTGGCAGAAAGGCCAATAAATGCACGCTCCGCTAGCCTAACCTAACCTCCTCGCGCAAGGGGGGCTCTTTTAGTGGCCATTTTCCTTGTTTCTGGCCAGGAATCGACCCGGGCTCCAGCGCGTCGAGGAGGTGGACTTGACCCGACCTGAACGCGTGCAATCCGGGAGACCAAGACTCGTGAAACAAAGACCGAAGTCCGAACTCTTACTTGAAGAGTGGAGCCGACAGCCGAGTGGCGAGCGCGCTGGGGCGTGGTGTATAGATCACCGTCGGCTCTGGGTTCGAGTCCTAGTCGAGGCGAACGTTTTGACTTTTGGGGGGAAGGGGGGGGGGGAGGCCGCTGAGCAGGCGGTCAAGTCCACCTCCCCATGTCGGCTGGTCTTTTGTTCTAACCCTTGGTCCCCGCGCCGCAAACTACTAAATAGGAAAAAGTGAGCCTCGATCAGTATTCGAAGCCACGACCATCCGCGTCCGAGGCGCGCGCTCTACCAACTGAGCCAATGAGGCTTCTGTAGAGCCAAAGCTTATCTCCGCTGTTGCTGACACCCCGAAACATATGGCTGGCAGAGGGGAAAAAGGGTTCCGTCGACTAGATTCGAACCAGCGACTGTTTGCGACCGGTCCATCAGGTGTCGCACGTCTGTGAAGTCATGGCCAGGCCAGCGGAGCGCGAAAAATATCACCGGGATTAGATTTGAACCAGCGACCAGGTAGACACCGGGCCCCGATGCTACCGACTTCGCCACGACGGAGCGATACAGATCGCTACTTTCAGCGGCATCTTGATCTAAACTGTGACCGACGCCCGAAGACACTTTGCCAGCCGAGCAGGGAAAAATGACCGCGGATGGGATTCGAACTAGCGACCACCCGCACGAACTGCCAACGACCACGCTTTACGACGCTGGGCTATACCAGCTTGCTCGTACCGGGCCGAGGTCTAAGCTCGGTCATGCCTGCTTTAGTTCTTAGCGCAGTTTACTTCTGGTTGATATTCTAGCATTGGCGGAAGTAATGAATTCGTCTATAGACGGTTCAGTTTAAGCTGACTCGGGCACTGTCGGCTGTAGCTACAATCGTGTAGCTACCGGTTGTCTCGGCCACTACGTTGGGTTGCCTATGCACTGGCAGCAGGGGCTGCAGGCGCGGGGCGGGTGGCGGAAGAGTGGCAGCTCCTCTCACTCCTCCGCCACCCGCCCCGCGCCTGCAGCCCCTGCTGCCAGTGCATAGGCAACCCAACGTAGTGGCATGTAAGCCGGGACACCCGGTACAAACAGGGACGTGTAGAAGGCTAACCCACCCGCGCGCCTGTCTTTGCGGTAAAGTAAGCTTCAAAAATGCCAGGGGTCAGTGAGCTACTACAAATTCCTACTCTTGCTCGCGTGCCGCAGCGTTCGCTGGCAGCGGGAGCTGGGACACCTGGACCGCATAGCCAAGCGCTGGTACGCGTCCCGCCCGCGGTGCGAGTCCGGCGCTCGGGGACTCACGCCCATCGGGGTGCGAGAGGTGGGTAGCCGTCGGCTGGAGTCTGACGACTGGAGGTCGCGGCCTGTTCGCACGGCGTGTCGCTGTCACACGCTCTCACGCGCAGGTGGTGCCGCTGCTGTTGCTCCTGACCTACGGCATTGCGCTGTCGCTCCTCTGCCTGGCCGTGGAGTGCCTGACGGCGCGACACCAGGGCAAGCAGCCCACCCGCTCCCTCTGCCTGCGTCTATTCGGAGGGCGGCCTCGGCACCTGCAGCAGCGGGAGCAGCGACCGAGACGCGCCATGGGTCAACAGTGGACCGCGGACCAGGTCGACTGGCCGTGGAGGCCCGGACCGGCCAGCCGGAAAGCCGCTCACGTCGGCGACGAGGATCGCGAACCGGGGCCGGCTCTACTCCTGGAGAGCCACACCCTCTACTGGCAGACGAGGGGCCGCGCCCTGGGGCACTTCGCCCGGCGAGCTCAGGAGCTGCAGCCGCACTCCCGTCATTGACGGTCTTAGTCCTGACGGGGTGGATGAGGTGGGCAGCAGCCCCTCGTCAGTACGTTGGAGTCATGGTGGAGTTCCATTGGGACTCGTCGTCATTTTGCGAGATTGACAAGGTCTTCATGACATTAAGACCATTTTGATCCACATTTGGTCGCAAGAGAAAACAACAATAAACACAGTTTTCCAAGAATTTTTATTCAGACTCATAGGACCAACTAACTAACTAACTACACAAACTGATAGTCAGGATTATCACAATACTGTGGCGCATATCGGCCACAGGGAAGACAGGACTCATATTTTTTTAACCGTTAAAACTGACAGGGATGCAGAAATCACCACAAGGGTGTTTCTATGATATGACAAATGTTGATTTGTTATACATTTTGCAAGTTTTTGAAAACCGGAGCTTTCAAGTAAAATTTTCAATAATTACATTTCATGATTTTACTAAG